ACGCTGGAGGAAAGGAAGCTCGTGGAGCAGAGACCTCGGACCAATACTAAACATAAACATTTGGCGCCCACCGTGGGGCCCGAGGAGAGCAGAGGAAAAACCTACAGAAACCACAATGGCAGAGCAACTTCAACTACAGGTACTTTAGGAGATGCAGAGACAGATGCAAGGGTTAAGAGATGAGGTAGCGACTTTGAGAGCGGAGAGGAGTAGAGGACCAGGAGAGCGTTCGGTCCAATAGTCGATGAATAATGATGTTGGGGTCTTGGTCTGGAGGGTCGAGGAGAGAGTAGCCATACCGTTCAAGACGTAGGTAGAGGGCCTAAGGCAAACAATGTTGGGGGCAGGGGTTCTCCAAATGTCGGCCACCAGGTGGAAGACGTGGACCCGGAGAATCCTTTAGCACTCAGGGAGCGTCCAGATCGGGCAGAGGGACTCCATCCTTTTACTGCAACGGTCATGAGGGCGATAATGCTAGAGAACAAGATGTTACCATCAATGGAGAAATACAATGGAACATCTGACCCCATGAAACATCTGCGCTCTTTTGTAGATGCAATGGCAGTGTATTCGTCGGATGGCATGGTATGGTGCCGGGTCTTTTTCTTGTCATTGAAGGGAGAGGCTTTAGACTGGTTCCACTCTCTAGAACCCCGAACGATCGATGAGTTTGAAACTCTGCGGGAGATGTTCAGTCAGCAATTTGCGTTCAGCTGAGCGAAGGATTTGACGTATCTAGAATTGGTGAAGATGAGTCAGAGGAGAGAAGAAACATTGAAAGACTTCATGGATCGCTTTAATAAAACAGTGCGTCAGGTTAGAGACCTGGGACCAAAATATATCTTGAGGAGTTTGACCACTGCACTTAAGCCAGGTCCGTTTGCCAACAACCTTTATGCCGAATCACCGTAGACGATGGGGGAACTGTAGAACAGGGCCGCTCGGTTCATTTGGGTTGAAGAAATGAGGGCTTTCCAGAAAAGTCAGAAGGAGGCAATAGTGCAGCCCGCAAGTCAGAAGTTTGATCGGAGGGAGAAACGAAAGCTGCCAGGATTAGAGGGGAGGCAAGGAGGTTGACATGAACAACAAAAAGGGCATAAGTTTAGCAACTCGCCGTTGGGGGTGCCTCATACCAAGATATTTGAAGAGGCGATGCAAACCGAGCAGCGTCCCCCGAAGCCGCATAACAATGATCCAAACGGTGATAAAGGTCAGTATTGTAGGTATTACAAGGTTGTTGGTCATAGCATAGAAGAGTTCCATGCTTTGAAGGATAGAATTGAGGAGTTAATAAGGGCGGGACAACTGAAAAAGTATGTATGAAGTGATACCCAAAGGAGGTCACCCGGGAGAGATCGTCACCCAAACAAAAAGGATGTTCACCGAAGCTTAAGTAGGAGTGCGGAAAGGCCTCTTAAGGGCCATATTAATACTATTTCAAGAGGCTTTGCGGGAGGTGGTTCTACCTCATCGGTAAGGAAGAGACATTTGAGGGGGTTGAGGAGTGTGAATAGCATAGAGGTAGTGAGGCAGTCAATGTCGAGCATCACTTTTTTCGATAAATATTTCCATGCCCCCGACCCTAATCAAGACGATCCTATGGTAATAACGACAATCATTGCTCGGTACAACATAAGCAAAGTAGTCATTGACCAAGGTAGCTCGGTCAATATACTTTATTGGAAAACTTTTCAAAAGATGGATCTATCGAAAGATTTGATAGTTCCTTACAACGAGCAGATTGTGGGATTTGCTAGAGAGCGGGTTGACACCAGAGGATATATGGACTTACGAACGAGTTTTGGAACGGATAGGGGGACTAAAGAAATGAAAGTAAGATATCTGCTAGTAGAGGCAAATACACCATACAATGTGCTGATCCGGAGGCTATGTTTGAATTCCTTTGGGGCAATTGTTTCCACACCCCATTTATTTATAAAGTACCCTTCAACCGATGGCACTATCTGCACGGTTAGAGCCGATCAAAAGATGGCTAGGAAGTGCTACGTGCCAGGCTTGAGGGTGCAACCGCTCGTCCATAGGCGTGAAGGTAAGGGGAAGGACGTTGCGTTAGCAGACTTGGACCCTAGGGTTGACATTAAGGAGAGGATGGAGCCACAAGGGGGGACGAGTCCTTTTAGTCTTGGAAAGTTGGAGGGTCAGAATACCTCAGTGGGAACTGAGCTGACAGTTGAACAAGTTAATACTGTTGGTCTTTTATTGAAAAAAATTCGTGATCTTTTTGCATGGGCGGTGTCCAACATGCCTGGGATACACCCCAACGTAATGTCGCACAAACTAGCAATGCTCAAAGAGGCACGCCTGGTAGCACAAAAGAAGAGAAGGATGGGGGAAGAAAAGCGTAAGGAGGTGGACGTGGAGGTTAAAAAGTTGTTGGACGCTTGGTTTATCAGGGAAGTTAAGTATACCACTTGGCTAGCCAATGTCGTCATGGTGAAAAAGTCAAACAGACAGTGGAGGATGTGTATTGATTTCACAGACTTGAATAAAGCCTATCCCAAAGACTCCTACCCACTACCTAGTATTGATGGTTTGGTAGATGGAGCCTCGGGATATGCCATACTTAGCTTCCTGGATGCTTATTCAGGATACAATCAGATTCCAATCTATCATTCGGACCGTGAAAAGACTGCTTTTGTCACCGAAAAGTCCAATTATTGCTTTGATGTCATGCCGTTCGGGTTGAAGAATGCAGGGGTAGCATACCAGCGGATGATGGATAAGATTTTCCACCAGCAAATAAGGAGATGCATGGAAGTTTATGTCGATGATATGGTGGTGCGGAGTCGGTCAATGGAGGAGCACGTCAGGGACTTAGCCGAGGTATTTGGGCAAATTAGGAGATACGACATGAGGCTAAATCCCACAAAGTGCACCTTTGGTGTGCTGGCGGGAAACTTCCTAGGCTTCATGCTAACTGCTCGGGGAATCGAGGCTAATCCCGATGAGTGTAAGGCGGTTTTGGAAATGCGAAGTCCCCAAAGCTTGAAAGAGGTGCAACGTTTGGTAAGACGTCTAACTGCTTTGTCACGGTTCATCCCAAGGTTGGCCGAGTGGGCCAAACCAATCATTACCATAATGAGAAAGAACTCGTCATCAAAATGGGATTTGAGCTGCGAAGAAGCTTTCATGGAGGTGAAGAGAATTTTGGCCAGCCCACGAATCATGGGAAAGCTAGACGATGGGAGTGACTTACAACTCTACCTTGCTGTCACCGAAACTACAGTTAGCGCGACTCTAACGTAGGAAGCTCCAGGCTTCTAACTCATTTACTTTGTGAGTAGGGTGCTTAACGATACAGAGGTGCGGTACAAACTGATCAAGAAGGTTGCTCTTACATTACTGACAGTGTCGCGCCGTCTAAGACCTTATTTCCAGAGCCACCAAGTCGTCGTGCAAACCGACCACCCCATTGCAAAAATATTAAGAAAGCCAGACTTAGTTGGTCAGATTGTCGGATGNGAGAAAGAACCGATCGGCGGGCAGTTAATAGCATTAATGGATAATAAAGGTGAGTAATTCTTACATCACGCGAAAGGCATTTATCGCTAATCAGCAACGGATTTCAGGAAGATTATGCTGGATATAAGGAAATTAGCGAGTGACTAGGCACAAAATATATTGTATTAAATGTCATTAAATGACGTTTGATGGGTTGGACAATTACAAATCCTATAAATACAGAACTAATGACCAACTAAAGATTGATTTTTCTGAGATAATTTAAGACCTTAGAAGACACCTCACTAACTTGAGCGTCGGAGTGTTTTCTTGCAGGTCACACCTTGCTGAACCGATCGGAGGAGGAAATTTGAACCCTTAGTCGTACGCTGGAGGAAAGGAAGCTCGTGGAGCAGAGACCTCGGACCAATACTAAACATAAACATTTGGCGCCCACCGTGGGGCCCGAGGAGAGCAGAGGAAAAACCTACAGAAACCACAATGGCAGAGCAACTTCAACTACAGGTACTTTAGGAGATGCAGAGACAGATGCAAGGGTTAAGAGATGAGGTAGCGACTTTGAGAGCGGAGAGGAGTAGAGGACCAGGAGAGCGTTCGGTCCAATAGTCGATGAATAATGATGTTGGGGTCTTGGTCTGGAGGGTCGAGGAGAGAGTAGCCATACCGTCCAAGACGTAGGTAGAGGGCCTAAGGCAAACAATGTTGGGGGCAGGGGTTCTCCAAATGTCGGCCACCAGGTGGAAGACGTGGACCCGGAGAATCCTTTAGCACTCAGGGAGCGTCCAGATCGGGCAGAGGGACTCCATCCTTTTACTGCAACGGTCATGAGGGCGATAATGCTAGAGAACAAGATGTTACCATCAATGGAGAAATACAATGGAACATCTGACCCCATGAAACATCTGCGCTCTTTTGTAGATGCAATGGCAGTGTATTCGTCGGATGGCATGGTATGGTGCCGGGTCTTTTTCTTGTCATTGAAGGGAGAGGCTTTAGACTGGTTCCACTCTCTAGAACCCCGAACGATCGATGAGTTTGAAACTCTGCGGGAGATGTTCAGTCAGCAATTTGCGTTCAGCTGAGCGAAGGATTTGACGTATCTAGAATTGGTGAAGATGAGTCAGAGGAGAGAAGAAACATTGAAAGACTTCATGGATCGCTTTAATAAAACAGTGCGTCAGGTTAGAGACCTGGGACCAAAATATATCTTGAGGAGTTTGACCACTGCACTTAAGCCAGGTCCGTTTGCCAACAACCTTTATGCCGAATCACCGTAGACGATGGGGGAACTGTAGAACAGGGCCGCTCGGTTCATTTGGGTTGAAGAAATGAGGGCTTTCCAGAAAAGTCAGAAGGAGGCAATAGTGCAGCCCGCAAGTCAGAAGTTTGATCGGAGGGAGAAACGAAAGCTGCCAGGATTAGAGGGGAGGCAAGGAGGTTGACATGAACAACAAAAAGGGCATAAGTTTAGCAACTCGCCGTTGGGGGTGCCTCATACCAAGATATTTGAAGAGGCGATGCAAACCGAGCAGCGTCCCCCGAAGCCGCATAACAATGATCCAAACGGTGATAAAGGTCAGTATTGTAGGTATTACAAGGTTGTTGGTCATAGCATAGAAGAGTTCCATGCTTTGAAGGATAGAATTGAGGAGTTAATAAGGGCGGGACAACTGAAAAAGTATGTATGAAGTGATACCCAAAGGAGGTCACCCGGGAGAGATCGTCACCCAAACAAAAAGGATGTTCACCGAAGCTTAAGTAGGAGTGCGGAAAGGCCTCTTAAGGGCCATATTAATACTATTTCAAGAGGCTTTGCGGGAGGTGGTTCTACCTCATCGGTAAGGAAGAGACATTTGAGGGGGTTGAGGAGTGTGAATAGCATAGAGGTAGTGAGGCAGTCAATGTCGAGCATCACTTTTTTCGATAAATATTTCCATGCCCCCGACCCTAATCAAGACGATCCTATGGTAATAACGACAATCATTGCTCGGTACAACATAAGCAAAGTAGTCATTGACCAAGGTAGCTCGGTCAATATACTTTATTGGAAAACTTTTCAAAAGATGGATCTATCGAAAGATTTGATAGTTCCTTACAACGAGCAGATTGTGGGATTTGCTAGAGAGCGGGTTGACACCAGAGGATATATGGACTTACGAACGAGTTTTGGAACGGATAGGGGGACTAAAGAAATGAAAGTAAGATATCTGCTAGTAGAGGCAAATACACCATACAATGTGCTGATCCGGAGGCTATGTTTGAATTCCTTTGGGGCAATTGTTTCCACACCCCATTTATTTATAAAGTACCCTTCAACCGATGGCACTATCTGCACGGTTAGAGCCGATCAAAAGATGGCTAGGAAGTGCTACGTGCCAGGCTTGAGGGTGCAACCGCTCGTCCATAGGCGTGAAGGTAAGGGGAAGGACGTTGCGTTAGCAGACTTGGACCCTAGGGTTGACATTAAGGAGAGGATGGAGCCACAAGGGGGGACGAGTCCTTTTAGTCTTGGAAAGTTGGAGGGTCAGAATACCTCAGTGGGAACTGAGCTGACAGTTGAACAAGTTAATACTGTTGGTCTTTTATTGAAAAAAATTCGTGATCTTTTTGCATGGGCGGTGTCCAACATGCCTGGGATACACCCCAACGTAATGTCGCACAAACTAGCAATGCTCAAAGAGGCACGCCTGGTAGCACAAAAGAAGAGAAGGATGGGGGAAGAAAAGCGTAAGGAGGTGGACGTGGAGGTTAAAAAGTTGTTGGACGCTTGGTTTATCAGGGAAGTTAAGTATACCACTTGGCTAGCCAATGTCGTCATGGTGAAAAAGTCAAACAGACAGTGGAGGATGTGTATTGATTTCACAGACTTGAATAAAGCCTATCCCAAAGACTCCTACCCACTACCTAGTATTGATGGTTTGGTAGATGGAGCCTCGGGATATGCCATACTTAGCTTCCTGGATGCTTATTCAGGATACAATCAGATTCCAATCTATCATTCGGACCGTGAAAAGACTGCTTTTGTCACCGAAAAGTCCAATTATTGCTTTGATGTCATGCCGTTCGGGTTGAAGAATGCAGGGGTAGCATACCAGCGGATGATGGATAAGATTTTCCACCAGCAAATAAGGAGATGCATGGAAGTTTATGTCGATGATATGGTGGTGCGGAGTCGGTCAATGGAGGAGCACGTCAGGGACTTAGCCGAGGTATTTGGGCAAATTAGGAGATACGACATGAGGCTAAATCCCACAAAGTGCACCTTTGGTGTGCTGGCGGGAAACTTCCTAGGCTTCATGCTAACTGCTCGGGGAATCGAGGCTAATCCCGATGAGTGTAAGGCGGTTTTGGAAATGCGAAGTCCCCAAAGCTTGAAAGAGGTGCAACGTTTGGTAAGACGTCTAACTGCTTTGTCACGGTTCATCCCAAGGTTGGCCGAGTGGGCCAAACCAATCATTACCATAATGAGAAAGAACTCGTCATCAAAATGGGATTTGAGCTGCGAAGAAGCTTTCATGGAGGTGAAGAGAATTTTGGCCAGCCCACGAATCATGGGAAAGCTAGACGATGGGAGTGACTTACAACTCTACCTTGCTGTCACCGAAACTACAGTTAGCGCGACTCTAACGTAGGAAGCTCCAGGCTTCTAACTCATTTACTTTGTGAGTAGGGTGCTTAACGATACAGAGGTGCGGTACAAACTGATCAAGAAGGTTGCTCTTACATTACTGACAGTGTCGCGCCGTCTAAGACCTTATTTCCAGAGCCACCAAGTCGTCGTGCAAACCGACCACCCCATTGCAAAAATATTAAGAAAGCCAGACTTAGTTGGTCAGATTGTCGGATGTTCGGTAGAGTTGTCTGAATTTGGGTTGCGTTTTGAACCGCGTGGATCGATACGGAGCAAACAATTGGTAGAATTCACGTCAGAATTGTTGTTGAGTGAAGAAAATGCCATGCAACCTTGGAAGCTCTTTTTTGATGGATCGACCAGTGGAATGGGAGGAGGCGCAGGGGTAGTATTGGAGGGACCGAACGGGTTAGCAGTAGAGGAATCGCTCATCTTTCAGTTCAAGGTCAGCAATAATCAGGCTAAATATGAAGCCCTAATTGTCGGACTGGAGTTGGCCCAAGACTTGGGAGCAGAGTGTGTGGAATGTCGAACAGATTCACAATTAGTGGTTGGTCAGATGAAGGGAGATTTCCAAATCAAGGATGATCAAATCCTTCAATACTTCCATAGGGTCACGAATTTAACGCAATAGTTTAAAACTGTCGAAGTAACACACATCCCTCGGGAAGAGAACACCAGGGCAGACATTTTGTCGAAGCTTTCCAAGGGCAAAGATAGTGGGCAGTTGACCTCAATAATGCGGCGAATCATGACAAAACCCACTATAGATTGCATGTCGACGTCGGTAGAGCCCGACCGGGAAGACTGGAGACGGTAATTCATGATGCGAATGAAGGAACAAGAAGAGGGGCAAGGTGTTTCGGCCAGGGATGCCAAGCGTATAGCGCGCTACGTGTTGATAGGAGGATGGCTATACAAGAGGGGATTTGTAATGCCCCTACTTAAGTGTGTTTCCCAAGTAGAGGCAGAGTATGTGTTGAGGGAACTACATGAAGGAGCGTGTGGTATGCATACCGGAAAGAGGGCTTTGAGAGCTCGTGTGTTAAGAGTAGGGTATTTTTAGTCCACATTGGAGAAAGACTACAATGACTTCGTCTGAAGTGTCTCAGCTCTCAAAAGCATGGCAACATGCAGAACTTACTGACCACTGAGCTTCATATCCTTATATCCCCATGTTTGTTTGTCTAGTGGGGAATGGATATCGTGGGACCTTTCTCGGTCGGTAGAGCTTAAAAGAAGTTCCTTTTGGTAGCTGTCGGTTATTTCACTAAGTGTGTCGAGGTTGAACCACTTGCTACCATCTCCGCAACGCAGGTGCAAAAATTCATGTGGAAAATTGTGTTCCGTTTTGCTTTGCCGAAGGTCATCGTCACGGACAATGGAAGGCAGTTTATAGATAGGAAGTTAGTAGAGTTCTACCGAAACTTAGGCATAAAACATGTAACCAGTTCTGTAGAGCACCCTCAAACGAACGGTCAAGCGGAGGCCTTGAACAAAATGATAGTTAACGAGTTAAAGAAGCGTCTTGGTGAGAGTAAAGGCGCATGGGTGGATGATCTCGGTGCACACCGCATGGGACTACTGAGGAAACACCTTTCAACTTAACTTACGGCACAAATGCAATGTTGCCGGTCGAAGTAGGAGAGCCAACCATAAGGAGAAAGATGGCGGACTTAAAAGTCAATGAGGAACATTTAAGAATGAATTTGGAGACCCTACTGGAAAGGCGAGACATAGCAGTTGTCTACGCGGAGGCCCGGAAAAGGTTAGTAGCTCAGCGGTACAACACGAAGGTTAAATTTCGCCAATTCAGGAAAGGGGATTTGGTCTGGCGAAAAACTGGACAGGCCAGGAAAAATCATGCTCACGGGGAAACTGGCAGCGAATTGGGAAGGCCCCTTCAGATTAAAGGACAATCTCAACAATGGAGCCTACCGATTGGAGTACTTGAACGACAAATCTATTCCTAATACCTGGAATTCGTCGCACCTTAAGTTTTATTTCAGTTAAGCGTCCATGTATCTCCATTCATTATCAATAATATCAGATTTTGCCGTCCATAATTTTCTTTTGCAAGTTTTACCTAACGTGAAATCCCGGGAGACCATGTGAAGACACTCAACCATGGTCTTGTAGTGAGCAGCTCACTAGCAATCCCGGGCGGCCATGCGAAGACACTCAACCATGGTCTTGTAGTGACCAGCTCTCGGCGGCCACCCAACTCACTGGGGTCTTCTAGTGATCTATTCACTAGCAATCCCGGGTGGCCATGCGAACACACTCAACCATGGTCTTGTAGTGACCAGCTCACTGGCGTCTTCTAGTGATCTACTCACTAGCAATATCGGGCGGCCATGCGAAGACAATTAACCATGGTCTTGTAGTGACCAGCTCACTAGCAATCCCGGGCGACCAAGTGACCAACTCACTTACATCTTCTAGTGATCTACTTACTAGCAATCCCGGGCAGCCATGCGAAGACACTCAACCTTGGTCTTGTAGTGACCAGTTCACTAGCAATCCCGAGCGACCAGGTGACCAGCTCACTTGCGTCTTCTAGTGATCTACTCACTAGAAATCCCGAACGGTCATGTGAAGACACTCAACCATGGTCTTGTAGTGACCACCTCACTAGCAATCCCAGGTGACCAAGTGACCAGGTCACTTGCGTCTTCTTGTGATCTACTCACTAGCAATCCCGAGCGGCCATGCGAAGACACTCAACCATGGTCTTGTAGTGACCAGCTCACTAACAATCACGGGCGCCCAAGTAACCAGCTCACTAGCGTCTTCTAGTGATATACTCACTAGCAATCCCGGGCGCCCATGCGAAGACACTCAACCATGGTCTAGTAGTGACCAGCTCACTAACAATCC